TAAAGAGGAAAAATAGCTTATTTTAAAATGCTCATAACTCCTTAAATATTAACATTTCGGGGTTTTTAGCATCGTTTTGATTGCAGATATTTAAAGAGGAAAAATAGCTTATTTTAAAATGCTCATAACTCCTTAAATATCAACATTTCGGGGTTTTTAGCATCGTTTTGATTGCAGATATTTAAAGAGGAAAAATAGCCAACTTTAAAATGCTCATAACTCCTTAAATATCAACATTTCGGGGTTTTTAGCATCGTTTTGATTGCAGATATTTAAAGAGGATAAATAGCTTATTTTAAAACGCTCATAACTCCTTAAATATCAACATTTCGGGGTTTTTAGCATCGTTTTGATTGCAGATATTTAAAGAGGAAAAATAGCCAACTTTAAAATGCTCATAACTCCTTAAATATCAACATTTCGGGGTTTTTAGCATCGTTTTGATTGCAGATATTTAAAGAGGAAAAATAGCCAACTTTAAAATGCTCATAACTCCTTAAATATCAACATTTCGGGGTTTTTAGCATCGTTTTGATTGCAGATATTTAAAGAGGAAAAATAGCTTATTTTAAAATGCTCATAACTCCTTAAATATTAACATTTCGGGGTTTTTAGCATCGTTTTGATTGCAGATATTTAAAGAGGAAAAATAGCTTATTTTAAAATGCTCATAACTCCTTAAATATCAACATTTCGGGGTTTTTAGCATCGTTTTGATTGCAGATATTTAAAGAGGAAAAATAGCCAACTTTAAAATGCTCATAACTCCTTAAATATCAACATTTCGGGGTTTTTAGCATCGTTTTGATTGCAGATATTTAAAGAGGATAAATAGCTTATTTTAAAACGCTCATAACTCCTTAAATATCAACATTTCGGGGTTTTTAGCATCGTTTTGATTGCAGATATTTAAAGAGGATAAATAGCTTATTTTAAAACGCTCATAACTCCTTAAATATCAACATTTCGGGGTTTTTAGCATCGTTTTGATTGCAGATATTTAAAGAGGATAAATAGCTTATTTTAAAATGCTCATAACTCCTTAAATATCAACATTTCGGGGTTTTTAGCATCGTTTTGATTGCAGATATTTAAAGAGGAAAAATAGCTTATTTTAAAATGCTCATAACTCCTTAAATATCAACATTTCGGGGTTTTTAGCATCGTTTTGATTGCAGATATTTAAAGAGGAAAAATAGCCTTCTTTAAAATGCTCATAACTCCTTAAATATCAACATTTCGGGGTTTTTAGCATCGTTTTGATTGCAGATATTTAAAGAGGAAAAATAGCCAACTTTAAAATGCTCATAACTCCTTAAATATCAACATTTCGGGGTTTTTAGCATCGTTTTGATTGCAGATATTTAAAGAGGAAAAATAGCCAACTTTAAAATGCTCATAACTCCTTAAATATCAACATTTCGGGGTTTTTAGCATCGTTTTGATTGCAGATATTTAAAGAGGAAAAATAGCTTATTTTAAAATGCTCATAACTCCTTAAATATTAACATTTCGGGGTTTTTAGCATCGTTTTGATTGCAGATATTTAAAGAGGAAAAATAGCTTATTTTAAAATGCTCATAACTCCTTAAATATTAACATTTCGGGGTTTTTAGCATCGTTTTGATTGCAGATATTTAAAGAGGAAAAATAGCATTCTTTAAAATGCTCATAACTCCTTAAATATCAACATTTCGGGGTTTTTAGCATCGTTTTGATTGCAGATATTTAAAGAGGAAAAATAGCTTATTTTAAAATGCTCATAACTCCTTAAATATCAACATTTCGGGGTTTTTAGCATCGTTTTGATTGCAGATATTTAAAGAGGAAAAATAGCTTATTTTAAAATGCTCATAACTCTTTAAATATCAACATTTCGGGGTTTTTAGCATCGTTTTGATTGCAGATATTTGAAGAGGAGAAATAGCCCATATTCTTCGTCAATGGAATGAAATGAAATTATGAATGAAATTATTCATCCAAAACAAATAAAACGCACACACACACAGAAACGAACATGTTTGAGTTGAGCAGAGCGTACAAGTTCGTTCTTCGTTGATCGTCCATGTTTTAGGTCCAAACGAACATGTTTGAAGCGAAGAAAAATTAAACTAAAGTCGACTTTCGAAAACCCTTACCCTTAGTAGCGCCAGGATGAAAGGGGATTTTATTGGATGTAGAATATTCATTCATTATTGAATAAAAACAAGTAAAAAGATGTAAGTTCGTGGACCTTCATAGGCAACTTTTGTCATAAGCCATTACAATATTCAAATGCGAAACTTGAAAAAAAAAATCGGTGAAAAATGTAGCTAAAATCATAAAAATACCGAATATAGTAGCTATACCAAAACGTGGACCTGCAAAGACAATTTTCTGTCATAGGCTGTAGTATCTATTACGAACTTCAAATATCAAATTTGAAATAATTCTGGTGAATAATGTCGCTTAAATCACCACAATAGCGAAAATGGGGATGTACCATTATATGGGGGCTATACCAAAACGTGGGCCTACAAGGCCCATTTTCAATACCAAAAGTCCTGCAGACATAATATACATTTTAGTAAAATTTTATTAACCTACTTCATTTCCTTCGGAAGCTAGAGTGATTTCCACAGACGGACGGCGGGTAAATGAGCATCGACATAGAATTTTATGCTGATCAAGAATTTGTGGGGTCTAAAATGTATGTGTCGAGGTGTTTCAAACGGAATGACAAACTTAATATACCCTACATATTATGGCGGAGGGAAAAAAATTGGGGTTGAATAATCAATCTGTTGGTTCTAGCAGTGATATATAGTTGTTTTGGTGCTGCTCATGTAATTCTGATTTCCGCTTCGATTTTACCAAATAAAAACGACCTTAAGTTCGGACGAATCCAAGTTTTCCAAAAATCGTTGATTATTCTGAGCGACAAAATTAATTTTTTTAATAATTGCGGGAAAATTTCAACAGATTATGAAAGTAGAGCTAAAAAGAAGATCCATGTATTGGCATTTTGAAAGTTTACTTCGCAAAGTAACCTAAATGGAGGGGGCAAATTCCTCCCTCTTCCACACTTTTGAAAATTTTTGGATTAAGATTCCTTGGAATCATGTTTTTTTTAGATATAGAGTGTTTTCAGCAATACTGTAGATAAAAACACGAGGTGTAATTTCATCGGAAATCTTAACTCTCACGCGAGTGAACAAAGGGGTCTTTTGGGCCTTTTTTGAAAATATGGTTAAAGACCCCCTTTAAATGGGATCGTATCAAGTCAAAATATTCCACAAAATTGTTTGTGATAAAATTCTATTATAGGTCCTAGAAGACTTTAAGAGTCTAAACCTTATCTAAACGTCAGGAATTCAAGGAGATCTTGTGTTAGTAAAAATAATGGGATGTGTGAAATTTAAAAAGAGTTGGATGCTTATTTCGGATTTTATGATCGTTTCTGTTATTCAAAATTTTGACCCTTTGTGGGGGAGGTACCAGAAGAAATGGCTCGATCTCTACCATTTTTATAACAGATCTTGTGTTGGTAGAAATATTGAGATGTACCAAGTTTGAATGGAAGCCGATGTCAATTTCTCGTTTTATGAGCTTCTCGGATATTCAAAATTTTGGCTTCTATGTAGGGGAGGTACCAGAAGGAGTGGATCGATATATCCCATTTTCACACCAGACCTTGGGTTAATAAAAATATTTTGATGTGTGTAATTTGAAGAGATCCGGATGCTTATTTCAGATTTTCTGATCGTTGTTATTCAAAATTTTGGCCCTTTTATGGGGGAGGTACCATAAGAAATGGTCCGATCTCTACAATCTTTATAAAAGATCTTGTGTTGATGGAAATATTGAGATGTGCTAAGTCTGAATGGAATCGGATGTTAATTTCGTGTTTTATGAGCTTCATGAATATTCGAAATGTTGACCCTTTGTAGGGGAGGTACCAGAAGATGTAGACCGACCTCTACCATCTTTATAATAGATCTTGTGTTGGTAGAAATATTTACATTTGCCAAATCAGAATTGAATCGGATTTTACTCTCGTGTTTTATGAGCTTCATGAATATTCGAAATTTTTACCCTTTGTGGCGGAGGTACTAGATGGAGTGGACCGATATTGCCCACTTTTTCACCTGACTTGGAACTAATGCAAATATTAGGATTCGCAAACTTGGACCAAAATCGGATTATCCTTTCTCTTTCTGTGCAGTAAATTATTTTCTTTGAAAATGTTGACATTTTGTGGAGGAGGTGCCAGAAGGAGTGAATCATCTTCGAAGTCAATCTAAGTTTGACAATAATATTACGATATACCAAGTTTGGATCAAAACAAATACTACCTTCGAGAGTTATCGTGCGCACCAGCCAGCTAGACAGATGGAAAGACGGACCTCGCTAGATCGGCTCCAAATGTCCTGAAACGGATTTGGTCCAAAGTGACCTAGGGTCTAAAACCGTTATTTCGATGAGATACGTTTTGGCCGTATCAAATACCCTCTCTAGCCATATGGATGAAGGTATAATTAGGCTTGAACCCTAAAATGTTTTTTAATGTATATAAATTCCTGGGGCTTATGTCAGATGAAGGCTCTTGACATCTTCTAGGACCAATTGTAGAATTTTATGACAAATAATTTTGTATAATATTTTGACTTGCTACGATCCGTTTACAGATGAATTTCTAAGCATATTTTAAAAAAGAACCAAAAAAAGAACCTTTTAAACTGACAACAATTTCCCAGTAAGTCGAGAGGCAAAACTGCTCTCTTCGCTCGCTCTTATTTATGGAAATTTTGAATAACCCAACATTTTGTATTAATTTCTAAAATAGGGGTCTGAATTATGTAGAAGTGTTTTGTATGTTATCGTAGATTCATTGAGCTTTCTTATTGCTAGACCTTCTATAGAGTGATCAAACATCCAACATGTTGTGACATCAATGGTGCTTTACAACTTCTTTGATGTTCGTTTGTTGGTTCGTTCGTTCAACAGAACACACGATTGCCTCAATGCAGTTGGAAAACATTTCATTGGTTAAGTTATGAAATTCACTTCAAAGCGAATGGTCGGTGGTGTGTTGGTCGTGTGAGATCTTGGTGAACAAAACGAGTGGGAATTTAAGCAAAAAAACCAAAAAAAAAAAATACAAATTAATAAAAATGCAATAGAAAAATTATTTGTCAAAAAATAATGCAATTGAATTGAAAAAGAAAACAACAATAAATGCAACTATCAGAGCATGTGTTTCTCCAAAAAAAAAAATCAATGCGAGTTCATTGTGAAAAGCTAAAATAAATAGAAACAACAATAAAAATAGAACAAGTGAAAAAAAATCATTTTTTTCAATTGCAATTCAATTTAAATGGTAAATTCACAAATGAGAAGTGCAGCTCAATTGCAACAGAGTGATTAACCGTGAGTGAGAGAGAGCGAGAGTGCAAGAGGTAAAGAGGCCGAGAGTGAGTTGTAGTCATTCGTCATTCAGTTTCATTCATTCAGTTATTCAGTCATTTGTTGTTGTTGCTGTTGCCGTTGCTGGTTCTCTCGCGTGTGTACATTGTTCGTTTGTAACTCAATGAGTTTGTGTCTTAAGTCTTTTGTTCTGCTTAAACGAAAACATCTACGCATCTGTGGCGGTTGTGCTTTGCGAAATTGCAAAAACGAAAAGAAAAATACAAATAAGAAAATAAATAAAAACTGAGAAACAACGACAACAAAAACAACAACCACAGAAAACATGATAAAATGCTGTAATTTGGCATTAAACGTGCTTTAGAAGACCTGCAGTAGTTTTGTTTTATTTCGTTTCGTTTTGTTGTTGAATGTGCGATCTGTGTGCTGTCACACACATTTACCGTGTTACGTATAAAATGTCAATAGGCAGCTGCAGGGGATTTTAGTGAGATCAGCTGCAAGAGTGTGTAAAAAAATCTATTGTTCAACCCACGTTTTTCGGATAGAACAACTAAAGAGAAGGGCAAACCCATTGCTGCTTTTTGCGAAAGCAACAGAAATTGGGATTTAAATAATTTTTCATAAAAACGTAAGTACAATTTTTTAAATATTTGTTTTACTCTTTCTGAGTCATAGAGTTATTTTCTGATAAAATACTTCAACAGATTTTTTTTAAATAGGCGAACTTGCTTGGGGTTTTTTGTTCCGTTTTGTTTATGCCTTTTTGCCAGCATAGTTTGTTTGTGTTGTTGTCATTTACTCACAAATAAAATATTTCTATCTGGCTTTTACAAAACATTGTTGGTGTTGTGTTCTTGTTGTTGTTTTTTGTTCAAATACAACCTACTCTTTTTGGTAGGTTGTTGTTGAAAAAACAGAATTGAAAAGAAAACAAGAAACTCCAACCTCCCACGTTCACTTGGTGTTAATTGAAACTACTTTTATAATGGCACTACTCTATACATATATACCTCATTTTGCTATCTATGTTAAGCGGAAACTCTCAAAAATATTTTTAAATTAAAAAAAAAAAAAAAATAAAAAAAAAATAAATTTTAAGACTTTAAACTCAAATCGTCCTCTAGCTGTGATCTGTAAGCCAGCCTACATTATCATGATCATCGTGGAGGTTTCTACTATACCACATTTTGGTGACAACCTCACATAGACGAAAATCTGGAAGAGTTATTTGCATAACATGCATTAAATTATGTCCCCCACACACACGCGCACGTACGTACGTACCTACCAATTCTCATAAATTTTTTTATGAATCAAACCCAAAATTGAGTTATATTTCCTTACCTTTGGTGGCTTGGCATAAATTACAAGGAATGCATGAATAAATATTCCAAAATTATACCACGCACTTTCAAACCCACTTGATTTTTTTTTGGTGAAATGTTGTTGTTTTTCTGGGAGGAAACGCTATTTAAAAAAAAAAAAAAACAAGTCAAATAGTATCAGTCGGTTTTGCCGAAAGATGTATACCCCCAGTCTTGAGTTATGATTATTCCAACTGGTGAGCCTTTATGGGGTAGGTTCCAAATATTGACCAATTTGTATCTGACCTAAGAGTGATATAAATATTACAACATGCCAGATTTGGACTATATCGTCTAATTTCTATTCTTTATAAGAGATATGTGCAAAATTTTTGGAAAATGTGGAAATATGCGTGAGGTAACAGATGTGGCGGACCGAAGTTTTCCATTTTCATACTTCTGCTAATACAGAAAAAACATAGATATGTTCGAAATTCAAAAGAAATCGAAAATTTATATCTATTTTTATGTGAAATCATGAATTTCGAAATTTGAAGAGAGTTGGATGCTTATTTCGATTTCTTTGAGCGTTTTGTTTTTTAAAAATCTTGAAACCTATGTGGAGGATGTACCAAAAGAAATGGTTGAGATGTACCAAGTCTGAATAGAATCGGACGTTAATTTGGCGTTTAATGGCCTTCATGGGTACTCAAAATTTTGACCCTTTGTGGGGGAGGTACCAGAAGGAGTGGACGAATATATCCCAATTTCACACCAGACCTTGGGTTAATAAAAATATTGTCATGTGTGTAATTTTAAGAGAATCGAATGCTTATTTCGGATTTTATAATCGTTTTGGTTATTCAAAACATTGACCCATTGTGGGGGAGGTACCAGAAGAAATGGTCCGATCTCTACCATATTTATAAAAGATCTTGTGTTGATGTAAATATTGAGATGTCCCGAGTCTGGATAGAATCGGATGTTAATTTCGCATTTAATGAGCTTCATTGATATTCAAAATTTTGACCCTTTGTGGGGGAGGTACCAGAAGGAATGGACGGATATATCCCAATATCACACCAGACCTTAAGTTGATCAAAATATTGTCAAGTGTGTAATTTAAAGAGAACCGGATGCTTATTTCGGATTTTATTGACCCTTTGTGGGGGAGGTACCAGAGGGAATGGTTCGATCTCTACCATCTTTATAACAAATCTTTTGTTGATAGAAATATTGAGATGTGCCAAGTCTGAGTGGAATATGATGTTAATTTCGTGCTTTATGAGCTTCAAATGCTGACCCTACGTGAGGGAGGTACCAGAAAGAGTGGACCGATATATCCCACTTTAACACCAGATCTTGGGTTAATAAAAATATTTTGATGTGTGTAATTTAAAGAGAACCAGACGCCTATTTCGGATTTTATGAACGTTTTGGTTATTCAAAACGTTGACCCTTTGTGGGGGAGCTACCAGAAGAAATGGTTCGATCTCTACCATCGTTATAACAGATCTTGTGTTGATAGAAATATTGAGATGTGCCAAGTCTGAATGGAATCGGATATTAATTTGGCGTTTTATGAGCTTCATGGATATTCAAATTTTGACCCTTTGTGGGGGAGGTACCAGAAGGAGTTGACCGATATATTCCATCTTCATACCAGACCTTGTGGTAATGAAAATATTGTGATGTGTGTTATTTCAAGATAATCGGACTCTTACATCACATTTTATAAGAGTTATAATTATTCCAAATTTTGACCCTTTGTGAGGGAGGTACTTGATGGAGTGGGCCGATATTGTCCATTTTCGCACCTGACCTAGCAGTGAAGGAAATATTAGGATTTACAATGTTGGAGCAAAATCGGATTATCCTTTCCCCTTCAGTGCAGTAAATTATTTTCTTTGAAAATATTGACATTTTGTGGGGGAGGTACCAGAAGGAGTGAACCGATATAGCCCATCTCCGAACTCGATCTAAGTTTGACAATAATATTACGATATACCAATTTTGGATCAATTCGGATACTTCCAGACAGATGTACGGACATCACATCGACTCCAAATGTCCTGAAACGGATTTGGTCCAAAGAGACCTAAGGACTAAGCACATTTTGGTCGTATCCAATGATATATACCCTGTCTAGCCATATGGCTGAGGGTATAAAAATTCCAACATTTAATGGAAAACTTGACCAAAACGTAAAACATTTTTGAGATCGGAATTATCCCTACAAGGGATAATAGTGGACCGATATTTCTGTACCAATGATTCTGGATATAATTCAAATTTCAAAACTCTATCTACAATTGTAGGCGTTAAAAAACGCCGATACACGTGTTTTCTTGTTTTATCTCTACTTTCGTAATCTGATGGATTCAACCCACAATGTGTTTTTTGTGTGCAGTACCATTTTGTTCATATTAGTACTTTTCGTAACTTTGACGTACGAATTTCCAAGAAATATTCCTTGTGGATTTCCTCCGCTCGGACGTTGGCAGCCATGCAGACAATCAATGTTCTACCTCTTATCAATCACTTAGTATCGGTACCGTACCATTTGGTACTTTTCATACCTTGAAGTACGAATTTCAAAGGAATGCTTCGTTATTGTATTTCTCCGTTATTGCTACGAGTAGCTCTTACCGATCACTTAGTAACGGTGCCTCAGCATTTTGTACGTTTTGTTACTTTTCATACCCTGGAGTACGAATTTTCTAGGACTCTTCCTTAGTGTTTTCCGGAAAAACACATTCAAAGTCGTAAATTCTAGCATTCGCTCAAAATAAATAAACAAATAAATAAAATATAAATAAATAAAAAAATAAAAAATCGGCACTACTTCTTTGTAATTTTAAAGTACCAATCTCTAAAATTTATATTTTATCTCATCTCTTCACACCAACGCGGTACTCAAAGTGAAAAGGCCCGGGTACCAGACCCCCACCTGCGGACGTCCCTGCTTCACACCATCAGAAACCCTAAAGATTCTTGGTCTAGGTATTCCCTGGTCATTGACAATTCAGTCAGACCTTTCCTTCTTCTAGAAACATAATTGTTCCAAAAAGTCATCTACAGATGAGAGATTTTCAAAATATCTCTAGAAGGTGGTCCACGAAAAAAAACCGGTTTTCTCTATGCCTTTGTCGTTTGATAGATCTTTGAGAATAGAACATATCCTGCTCCTCTTCTGTGTCTAGAATACCACCTTTATTATTTCTAGAAATCTTCTTCGGTTCGTCAATTTCTTTCGAATAACCCAAGCTTTTAAATCAAAAGACTTAGGACACAAACTTCATTTCAATATAGAATTCAAGCCGAGGATGACAATTTTCATGCAAGGCCTCAAGAGGAGTTTCTGAAAAGAATAAATAATTCTCAAAATTTTCATTCATTTAATTTTTCAAAATATTTAAATTTTTTTTCAAAAAATGATTTCTCAATAAATTCAACTTCGATTCAAGCATCACTCACGATGATGATGTAGGCCTAAGTAAGACAAGCTTACCATGAGCACTCGACTTTGTGTAACTTCAAATAAATTAAAAAAGAAATTCTTTATTTTTTGTTGCTTTTGTTTTTGGTTTGGTTTTGGCTGTTTTCGGTTTTACAACATTAAATGCCAAGACGTCGTTTCAAGTCATTCCAAGTTCAAAACCCACACAGGTTGTTGATGTTAAAGACGGAGCGTTGTTGTAGTCGTCGTCCATGGGGCTCTTGGTTAATTGTGAAACTTATGGGGTTGCACACAAACACACATAGGATTTGTGTATTAAACGAAAAAAACAACAACAACAAATCTAAATACAACAACATAACTAGTACAACAAATCCCAGCAAAATGTTAACGTAGGCGTGCAACAGTTGACTTAAATCGAAAGCCCCTTCCAAAAAAAAAAAAAAAAAAAAAAAAAAAAAACAAACAACGACAGCACCAATGATGACTGCCAACCAAGAGAGATAGAGAGAACTATGCGAGCAACAACAAAATCTGTTCAGCAATGAAATCTTTGTTCTGCTCTTCAGTCTTTAAGTTGCCTAAACGAATGCTACTTTCGCTAAATTGAAGTCGGTTGAAAAAAAAATCAAAATTGTAGATATGTAGGTGGTCCCTGTCGTGCATTCCCCAAATAATATGTCACACGACTGACTCTCTGCCCAATGCTGTTGCAGATGATCGAGACGACAACGACGACGGTGGCGATGATGATGCTGATGACATTGAGTCATAGTTAAGATGAAGTAGATTAATTTGCAAAAAAGTAACGTTGCAAAATGTTGATGTTGCAATTCGCCGGTGATTCTTTTTGGCTTAGAATCA